TAAATATGTCAGCTAGGGCTCAATACAGAAATAGTTTAATTACCAACATAGGAAAGTCAGCGAGTATAAGACTAAAAGGAATGATTGCGGTTCACCTTATTGGTTCCTGTTTTCGGAAATATATCACAGATCACTTCTTGGTGTCTTTATCAAACTTTTTTTTTTAGATAAATATCAAAATCTCACTTCATGAATTTGCTGTTACTTTGGATTCCCATTGTCTTCCTTGGTAGTTCATTTCACATCATTTGCATTCAGAAGTTAGCATGACTTTTTTTTTTAGCTACCATGAATTAAATGCTGTTGTGGAGTTTTAAAAAGGACATCTCTTGAGACCCGATCTAAATCAGCGATTAAGTAAATTGATTTTAAGAGAATGCCTCCTTCAAACCTATACTTGCCTTCCGTCCTGCTGAACAACACAGCATACATACTGGATTGTAATCTGATATCATGTGCCACATCTGGAGCTTTCAGAGGAAGAGGCAAAGTATATACCACAGAGATCGAACTCCGTTTAAATCAATTCATTCCAAATTGAATTTAATCCTCAATATAAATTAGTACCAATAAAATGTCAACTCAAGTTGAAGTCTGACAAATTAGAGCCATGATGTCAATATTGATAACCACATTGGATCCAAGAGTGTTACAGGGAATTTTAAGAAATAGGCTGGGAGACAATTAAGTACAAAACTTGAAATCAGATACTTGTTCATTAAAGATTGAAAATGTATTCACTTTATATTATTGCGTGGAAATGCATCAGAACAGAAAATGAGAAAGATAGGTAAATAATGAATAGGAGTCTTTAGCATCAGTAAGAAGAATGAATGATTGGATCATTCTTTATTTCAGGTAATATTTAATTAAAATGAAGTTGTAATAAACTGAGGTAATTAAATGCAATAATAATATTTCAAATCTTTTGATGTTAAGCCAAAATGTTGAAATATGCAGGAACTGTCCCTTTCAAAACTTATGTTAACAACACATCCTGAAATCAAAATAGTTTTTGTCATTGTGTGTGTTTTGTTTAAAACTGTGCTTATTTTATTTCTTGTATAAGTGTAAAGGCTTTTTTAGTCAAACATTCAGAAATCTTTAATTTTTACATATCGTTTAACTTTTCAATGAGCCAATGACCAACTGTGATGTAAGATGTGTGATTTTTATGTTCTAATACCATTTATTTTAGATTTTTGAATTTTGAAGTAGTAACATGTGTTTGGTCTGTGCCTGTGCAGGGAGTTAGTGATAAAGCTTTAAAGTATTTTTGTAACCATATTTTTTGTCTTGAAAAGACACGGTATGAGAGACAGTTCCTAGAAGTTAGTTGGGTTTTGTTTACACTGGGAATGTTTTACAACCTCTGAATAATCAGTGTAGTGCATTAGTCTTCAGTCAGAAGGTACTGGAGTTTTTTTTTGACTTGGGGAAACAGCCTCAGCTTGACGAAAGCCCTTTGGTTTCAGATTTTGCGTAGGTCTGGCTGAAGCTGGATGTATAAGACAACTGGCCTGGAAGAAGAGAGATGGTGTAGAACTATTAAGAAATAAGACAAAGAAATATGCCTTCTAGTAGCCATGTCCGCAGGACTTGGGGCCACAACTCATCCTGACCAACTGGGAGGACCTGACCTGATGGATATCTGTACGGCTCCCTGACTAACTGACTTTTAATGGCTGGGCTGTTTGCACTGGGCCTTCAGGGCAGACCTTAGCCCAGTTACCAGTTTGTGATGATATGGATCCCTTCACCCTAGATGTCCCTAGCTACTGACTGTCCCAGCTCGTAGACTGATATTGGATGATACCCTAGACTTGCAGTTGCTGGTTTATCCTGTTTCCAGCCAACAGCACTCAACCAATCAGAGTTCCTAGTCTTCATCTGAAATGGCACTTGTCTGCAGAACCTTCTCACCTGTGGACATAATGGTCTTGATGATATAGATCCATCAATGTTATAAAAACTTGAGCTGAAACTGAACATTTACCTTTTCTATGTTTCTGAATCTAGCCTCAGTCTGCTTCAACTTGCCTGTACGGAATCACTGAGATCATCATCAAGAACTCAGCTCTAAGGGCACTCTGTTTCCTTTTATATGGTTTCAATAAGTTTCAACTTATCCAGAAATTTTGGTTACTAATAGAAGTTACACTCTTAGTTTCCTTAGAAACTAGAAGGATGTTTTTTTTTCGTAGTTTCTCTCTTCGATTAGCATCAACCTCTCAAAAATACAAGCTTTCAAACCAACAACTGCATCACAATGCAAAGCCTTCAACAGTGCACCATGTAGAGAAATGTAGAATCATTAATCGCAGCTTCAGGATTACCACATTTAGCGACACGTGGATGGACTTTAGAAGTTGTTATCAGTTTCAGAGGCATCATGATTGAAGTGCCGATTGAATACAAAATCCAGATTGTGTTTATCCATTTATATTGTTGGCTAAAAAGAGATTTATGAATGTATACTACAGTAGGACAAAGTCAGAAGTCACACAACACCAGGTTATGGTCCAACAGGATTTATTTGAAATCTCAAACTTTCGGAGCGCTGCTCCTTCATCAGGTGAAGTCACCTCAGTCCAACACTGGCATCTCAACATCATACAACAGTAGACTTCATCCTTTCAGGTTGTGAATTCTCTTTTCTGGAGTTCATTTGAAGCTCTTATCAAAGTTTTCTTTTTACTGTATTACTGGTTTCTTACAAAAATCTTTATAGTGGTTTACAAATCCTCAACAGAGAGAAGCAAATTATCCTGGAGGGTGCAACCAAGTCAGTTGTGTACGTGCCACTGTGATTCTTTGCCACAGAGAGCTGTTGGAGCAGAGTCCTCCTGTATATTTAAGGTTGAGATGAATAGGTTTTTGATCAGTTGGAAATCAAGGGTTATGGGGTAAATGCAGGAAGGTGGATATGGGGACTGTCAGATCAGCCATGATCTTATTGATTGGCTGAATGGGCTTGATGGGCCAAATGGCGTACTTCTGTTTGTGCTTCTTATCCCTCTTATGATCTGATTCTTAATCTCTCCGCAAACAATGCAGCATGTTATAAAGACCTTAAGTGTCTGTAATATATCCTAATGAATCACTTCATGGATAAGTTTGTGCGCAATTAATTTGTACAGGTACAATACTCAATTGAGTTTTGATGTTGAAACTAAGGACCCCATTTTGAATTGAAGCCTTGATTTCTACATGAACTCGACTGATTTACTTGGTTAAATGTTGCTAGTTTAACAATCCTAACAAAATGGGGGAGAAGTCACCAGGATGGCCATTCCCATCTTCATAAAGAGTTGGAAGCATAACTATTTAAGAGAAGATTGAGAGCTGTGACAAGTAGTGCAAGCAGAAAATATTGCAAGATGTACGGATCATAATAAGTACCATGCCAATATCATAGTATGATAGAGTGAATCATGAGTGAGTAATGCAGTGTTTGAGATTAGATCAGTCTTCTGGCGTTTTGCCAGATCCGCCTTTGTGACACGAATAGCAAGAAACTTGGCAAACCCTTTTCTCCAGAAAAACTTACTTAGAGAAGATTAGAAACTGTCCTTTTCTTACTTTCTGTTTTCTTTTAACCTTAAATCAACGTCTGCTAAAACAATAAATCATTCACTGCAGAATGATGAAAGAAATCAAGTATAAAGACTTTTCTATCTATATAGATGGAGGATGGCATATATGAAGTCAATAAATGTAAATCAGAAAACAGATATTAAAGGTTCATCTAACGATACATCTTTAGATCTGGAAATTTTCAGGAATGTATAGATGTTGCTGTAGCTATTTCACCTTGAATTATGAGCAGAGAAAAATATTTCAGAGGCTGCACTAAGTTAGGTGATGTAGGAATAAATTTTGGTCTTTGCCACAGGGGTGTCAATCTGGCAGTGTTATTAAGTTTGCCCATTTATCTTTCTGTTGAATTAAATGAAATAGAAATTGGTTCTCGAACAGATCAGTAATTCTGTTCGATTTTTTAAAAAAAAATTCATTCACAAGATGAGGGCGTCACAAACTAGGCCAGCATTTATTATCCATCCCTAATTGGCCAGAGGGCAGTTAAGAGTCAACCACATTGCTGTGGGTCTGGAGTCACATGTAAGCCAAACCAGGTAAGGATGGCAATTTCCTTCCCTAAATGGCATTAGTGAACCAGATGGGATTTTCCCAGCAATCAACAATGGATTCTTAACGAGACTCTTAATTCCAGACATTTATTGAATTCAGATTCTTTACACTGCTATGATGGAATTTGAACCTGGGTCCCCAGAACATTAACCGGTTTCTGTTTTAGCAGTCCAGTGATATTACCACTAGGCCATTGCCTCCCACAGATACGGTGAGATGTTGTGTTTAATTTATGATTGAATACTAAACAGCGTCTGCATCATTAAAGTCAGGCAATGATGTACCAGATGTATATCTGAATGAAGGGATTGGCATTATACTATAATGAGACAGGACAATATTCTTCTAACATGAGGATGGTAAGGGGTGATACGATTAAGGTGATTAAAATAATGAATGGAAGTCACTGGGTAGACTGGGAACAACTCTCCTCTATAGTAGGAGAATAAAGGGGAAAAGTCTCAAAACTAAAGATAAACTGGTTAAAATCAACAGAAAAGCCAGAAAAAAATCTGTGTGCAAAAGATTATCTGAATGTAGTTATACTGCTCTGAAGACCAGATGAAAATCAACAAAATTACTTAAAACTGAGATTGATACTTGGAAGTGAGCATATTAAGAGAAATGAAAGATGTATTTCAATCCAGTGGTCTGGACGTTGAGCAGTGAACAAAGTGTCCACCCGGAAAATTATATGACAGATTGTATAAAGATCATTAGAGAATTGAAAAGGTCAGGCTGTCACAGTTAATAAACTAGCAGTGCAGGCTTGATGGCCTAATGGTTTCCTCTTGTTTCTAGGTTTGCCTTATTTAGGACTAATCTTCTTCTATCATTCACCTCCACAGGCTGGTCTTGCATCTCCTGATTGTCCAGAACAGTTGATAATTGCACTTGAGCCTGAAGCTGCTTCCATTTACTGCCGGAAACTCCGCCTACATCAGATGATTGATCTCACTGCCAAGGAGGCTGTCAATGGTTATAGTTCCACAGAAACACTTTCATCTGGAATAACTCCTGGTATCTTTGCCTGTTTATCATTTTGGTATTTGAAGTAGTTTGGTATTTGCTGCCTCAAACTATTTCTTATTAGAAATGTTGCAGTGATGATATATACCATTCTATTTACTCCCAGTATTAGCAAATAAATTTTTTCTCAACTGAGTTTTCCTAGCAATTTCAATTTTAATTTTTTCTTCCTTTCAAAAATACTGATAAGATCCAAGACTATAGTATGGTCATGAAAATGTTGAATTTTCTTTCTATGTCAAAAAGATCTTTATATTGTTGAAAAGCTTTGTATTTTTTCATCAGTACTCAATTTCTGTACTACCAAATGATAAATAGTGACACATATTGCTATAAGTGTTGGACTGTATTAGAACTTAAGTGACATTTCACCAATATCTAAGCTGTTTTTTAGTGATTTCTTTAGGAGACAACTGGCAACTCCCATTGGCAAATCATCAAATGATTTCCATGATTAAAGATGTGAAAATTTCATTGTATTGACATCACAGGCCTTGGATTTTAGGAACTTAGGAACATAGGAAATAGGAACATGAGGCCACTTAGCTCCTCAAGTCTGCTGTGCCATTCAACTAGATGGCAGACCTTTAACTTTATTGCCATTTACCCACAGTATCTCCATATCCCCCTGAGATCTCCAATATCTGGAAATCTGTCAGGCTCTGTCTTGAATATGACTGATTTTCTACCATTTGAGGTACAGAATGCCAAAAGCTTCTCCTCACCTCAACTGGCAAAAGTTGTGAATTTAATGCATTTTCAGAACAAATAAGTGTAGTGCTTGTTTCAAAATGCAGATAGGAGAAAGATTAACTTATTATTTTGAGCATCGTTTTTAAAAGTTCTTACTAAAAGCTTTCTTAATCAGCACCTAAGAGCTTAGATTGGAATTCCTTTTCTGCTACTTAAAAGAATGGTTGTAAACCATCTTATACCAGCATTGTCCAAACCCTTTATGGCAGATTACACCAATTAATATAAAAATAAAACAAAGAAGTACAGATGCTGGAGACCTGAAACACAAACAGAAATCGCTGGTGAAACTCAATAGGTTTGGCAGAGTGCCGACAAAGAGTCACTTAACTTGAACCATTAATACTGCTTTTGCGCCACAGATGCTGCCAAGCTGATGAGTTTGCCAGAAATTTATGTTTTTATTTATTCCAGTTAATATTCAAAATGAACTGACCTATATCTATGATAAATTACAAATGCAATCGAAGCTTCCTCCCTATCCAATACGACTGCAGAAGAAAAAGAAGGCCCGACTATTTGCTCCCAACTCAGGAAATAGCTTGGCTTTCTGCACCTGCCTCAGGAAAAACAGCCCTGAATGTCTGGATTTTCAGCGTGGTGTGCTTTGGGTAGGTTCAGGGATCAGGCCTGCTGTCCCCAGGACACAGTGCAGAGGTAGCCACAAGGACTGCTGAGTAATAATGCAGGCTGTATAAAAGGTCTCTCAGTGCATGGTACTTCTTCCCAATTGCATAAAAAATGTTAAACCCTCTTGCCCTCACCCCTTGCAATCTTCATTTCCCACCTTCCCCTACCGTCACCTTCCTCCTCTCCTCACCATGGTTCTTCATAACCTCCATTCTAATTCAAGATCCACCATACATTCCCACCCGCCTTTCTGGTCCCTACACCAACTAAGTGCAAACACATGCCAACGCCAGGACTCTCCCTTTATCACCAGGCCTCTTATGATCCCATGCTGACATACTGTCAACCTATGCTTCCATTCCTTTACCCTTTCGCCTTACACACTCCATGCATCTGTCCCAGTATTCAATGTGGACAGTCCTCGGCAAATACGCTGAGATGAAGTAAAGTTTAGAAGTATCCATGACAGACTTCACGAGATAAAAAGAAATTAAATCTCTTCTAATACTTAATACCATATAAAAACACAAACACTTATTTATAGCTTGATGTCCGCAATAGCTAATCCTTAAATGATTTCTTGGGTCTCTCAAAGAGATTGAAATTGGAAGAAGAGTCATATTGGACTCAACATTAACTGTTTCCCTGTCCTCTGATGCTGCCAAACCTGCAAAGTTTCTCCAGCACTTTCAGATAATATGATGATATCCCTCAGGCCTATATCCACAAGCAGCGATTGAAACTGTAAATGATTGTTTTCAGGGTTTCTCAAAATTTAAAGAACCAGGTACGTTAATAACTTGAGAGCTTGAAAGACCTTATCCATCCTTTGTGCATATCTATTCTTAAAAATGGTTTGTCGCAAATGGAACCAGACCACTTTCCTTCAGCGAAAATAGGGTAATTTTG